GTAATCTCGGGGATTTATGCCGCGGTTGCCGGCGCCGCGGCGATCGCGCATCTTTCGTTATACGGAATTAAAAAAAATTCCCACAGAAAAATCAACAGAATTGTAATCCATGCAATAAATCAAACAAATACTTATCGAACAAAATCCATTTTGATGAACGAAAATTTCAAAAATCCTTAAACATTTGTATTTTTTTTATTTTTGAAGTTTTTCTTAAAATTGTAAATGTTGTAACTGGTTTTGCAGGAAAAAAAAATTTGTTTCACTACTATTTAAAAATTCTATACATTTAATCATGAAAATTATAATTATTTACAAAAATATGTTATACATTGTTAAATATCCTTTAATAAATGCGATTTATTTACAGTGAAAGATTAATAATTTTTATAACATTGAAGAAATTTCTTCGTATTATATGTTGTCAAGGAAACATTTAATACCTTCGTTTCGACGGAGAAAGATTCATTGGAGTTGGAAAATTGCATCGTAGTAAAGTGGCTAAATGGTTAAGCATTTTCGGCGAAAATAAGCAATTATTACAAAACTGAAAATGCCGTATATAGAATTGCGAACAGCGACACTAATATCCAATTTTTGAATTTTTAATATTAAGTGGAAAGTTAAAACAATAATTTTTTCCTTATTGTAATAATGTTTAATTTTCGTCTTGTTAAAATTTTGTAGTAAAATTTGGTAATTTTTATGAAAATCAAAGCCCGGCAAAATGCAAATGTACATCTGAGAAAAATATAAGGTGCGGCCCGCGTAAAACGGTCAAGCTGGTCAATTAGGATGCAAACGGCGGCGGCAATTAAATCCCGGTTGGATCCGGCCAGTGTCCAGCATCTGACGAATAATTTGCCTAATAGCGGGCATTATTAATCTGCGCACCCGGCGCAGCAGGTGCTCGCTGGCTAATATTAATCCGACGATGGATGAGCGCTGACATATTTCCGGGACATGCAGTGTTTTTCGCAGCGATTAAGCCGCGTTGTCATTTATGCATAAATATCATCAAATATGGATGCGCCACGCGCTAATCGGCTTTACATATATCGAAATCAACACCGAGTGCCGGATTGATTGATTTCCTAATTGCCCGGACTAATTGTGCTTGTCACATTCGACAAAACTGTTTTCCAATGATTATTAAAATTGTCATCGCCATCAGAAATATACCGCACGCACTATTTATTTTTAAAAAAATATTTCAACAATAATCTAATATACTAATATAAATAAATACAAATAGAATATAAGTTTATCAGTATAATATATTATAATTGTAGTAAACATAAATCACAAGTTTTACTGAAAATCACTAAGAGTTGTTTTTTTAAATTAATATATAGTTTTGAATTAGTTAGCAGCAAAAATATTGGATGGATTATTTTCCGGATATATATTTATTCAACAAAATTCCTGTCTCATGTTTAGAAAAACAAAAAAATATCCAAAATTACAAAACCTGCTTTTGAAAATTAATAAAATAATATTAAAATCATTTAAATTTTTTTCTGTGAATAATTCCAATATACAAAATTATTCTGGAATAACTATAACAAAAAAATAAATTCCGGTTGTTGAAAAATATTTTAATTTGTGTCTGTAGTTCTTGTACTCAGCAAATATTTTCCCGAGTTTCTTATTATTCCCGGAAAAATGGCAGCAGATGCCGGCAACGTAATAATAATATAATTGTGGTTATACAAAGACTTTGGCGGTTATTTCCGCCATGCGAGCGCGTGGCCTGCAGCGGCCCTAATAACGTGGACAGCCGGTCCGTCCCGGCGCGGCCAGAGGCCAATTTTAAATGATCATTTGCTGGGGAAATTGCGCCGGGATAAACGCGGGGATATTGGGCAAGTGGCCTTTCGGGTCACTAGCAATATCTTCTGACCGCAGCGTAATTATTATATGTGCATACCGGTGCCCGACGGGCATTACACACAACCGCGCATTCTCATTAATTTTACCAACGCAATCATATATAACAAAAATTTCTAACTGCCGGTCGAATTCTACCTACCCTTTTTTTACTTTTAAATTTATTTACGAGACGACCGGCATATATTTTTCTGTGTTATTCCGTTTAAAAATTTCTCGGTATCGTCGGAATTTTTTCACTGTGTTGTTTCGTTCCGAATTTAGTTTTTTTTCTTGCCGGTCGCACTTTTTTGGCTTTCTTGTTGCATTTAAAAACTATTTTTCTTGCCGCTAGTAATTTATTTTAATTTTTGAATTTCATTTATATTTTTTTGTGGCGATTATAAATTATTTCCGTTCCTTTTTGTATTTTAAAATTATTTTAATGCCGATAGCAGCAAGTATATTTTATAAGTTACGTTTATGCCCGATTAACCTGATTTATTATTAACTTTGTGTTTATAAATTGCTCAATATTTCACTTGCAATTTACGTTATTTTGTTTAAAATATTTAAAATTTATTTCCCCGATTTAAAAAGTCTAAAATTTGATTAAAAAAAAGAAACAAATACAGATGGATTTTGGTTTAATCTATTAGAGAAAATTCTGTTCTCGTTCCCGATTAAAAGCGGGTTACTCGCGTGTCCGATAATCCACTAAATATTGATGGTATAATGCGGAATGTTATTCCTTGTCCGACTACACAGAGAAAGTGACCGGCATTATGCCGTTTGTTTGATAGAAATATCGCTGGCCGCGCTGTCGGGCATGTTGATCCCGACGGGAAGACGCGGCCGGGATTAGGGATGACGAATGAATCAGCTGGCGCGGTGCATGATAAGCGCAGCACCGGACTTAATAGTCTTATCCCGCTCATATTCATCGCTGACCAATATATCTGTCCACACAGATAATATTGCCTTGTAGTGTATATATACTGCTCTGGATGAAACTCGGCCACTTCCGCTCAACTGGCCACTGGCATATACACGGAAATATACAAGAGGGACCGGCCGACGCGCACGCAAACACAGATATATACAGGCAATTAGGGTGTAGGCGCGGGGATGGTCCGGCCATCGTGTAGCCCACAATTTCATCAGTTTAATAACCGTTTTTAAAACTGGGCCTCGGCATTCGGTGGGGGTAGGTCGCAGACCTCCGTGACAAGTGCTATGTATGATTGTATCCTGTCTTCGTACTGGCAGAAGAAGGTCAAAATTTCCGCACATCAGCATTTAGTTTTTAAAAAAACTGCAAAAATATATTTTCCATTCCTGAACTTGCGAAGCATTTTTGTTGTTTTTAATTTTATATCTATTTGTTTTATTATTTTATACCTATTTGCTTTATTATTTTTATCTATTGTTATAATTTCCCTGCCAAAACAAATCACGGAAAAAGCGATGTCTGGATTTTTGGAGAATACCGGTAGTACAAAACTTGCAATTTAAATCGAGGAAACTGGAAATTAATATATTTTTAGTTTCCAGTAAACGGCAAATTTTTCGTTTCACTTTTATTTATTCATTTTAATTCGATTTTCCAAAAACAAAAAGGGTACATGAAAAAGGCTCGAACTTTCTAAAAAATTATATGACTTTTTAAAAACCTAAAAAGCATGTCAGATTTAAAAGGTTCCGACAAAATAGTAAGCATAATAAATTATTTAATTGAGCGGCTGGTTTTTACAACGTTTTATTTACGAACAATTATTAAGGTATCACAAAAATTTAGTAAAATTAAGGCGCCGTTTTAAAATCAGTAAATGATTAAATAAAATGTAAAAAAAGTCATAATGCTAATTTTAAATTTAATGCAGAGTCTTGAAATATATTCAAAAAATGGATGTTGCGTTTGTCAGTGCCTGAGTGCCGGTATACGTGTGTAAGTAAATTAAATTTCTCATAATTATTTCTGTTCTATAAATTAAAATGCACGGAGGAACAAGGGAAACCAGTGAACCGCAAGAATATCGTTCGTCCGACCCAACCTCCATTGTCCACCAGTGGTTTTAATAATTGCACATATCGTTTTCCTAATAACACCCCCACAATGGTCAGCCTCCCGCCCGCAAAGGTGAAGTGAAGCATGGCATGTGCGGGTGGTAATTGCGCGGCCGTGTCGTGCACTTGCATAATCCAGCGGCCGTGTCAATATTCAAACAGCCGCGTGCCGACTGACCACTGGTCAGTGCGTCCGTTACAATGTTCCCAACGCGGCATTGTGACGAAACACACCGGGGTCATTTTATTCGAAAGGGAATCGGGATGCACCGGCCGTAATGGTGGTGTGGGCCGCGTGTGGCCATCTGGCTTCAGTGATCGGCCGCGCGCGGCTTAAAATGCGCCCGGTAATTATGCTGTATTGCATTTTACGATGCGCTAATGTGTGCAGTGGTTTTATGTTGCCACAGCTGCGTCCACTGATATAAGCGCAGTGGACGGCGGATTTATGTAAGATTGGAAGAAGAGTTTGGTGATTTATTGGGGCGATGCCACCTGGTCGGCTTGCATAACAGGGTATCCATATAAAATTGGAGAATGGAGAAAAACATTAATTAAATTCTAATTGTATACGCGACTGCGCTTCAGCAATTTTTAGAACAAAAATCGCCCGCTTGAACGATTTTGGCTTTAATTTAAAATTCAAAGAATGGCAAAAATAAAAAAAAAACTATTGAAAAAAATAGAAAATTATTGTAAATAAAAACTAATAATATTTATTATTATTATAATAAATAACAAAATATTCAGCAAAGAAAAACGAAAATAATTTTAAAGGATTTTCTAAAACAGTTTATGGAACGGAAAACTGGAAATCGGCCAGCAGGTGCGCCGTCTCAAAATTACGTAATAAAATAAACAAGCAGTGTTCAACAGAAAAACAACCAAGGGGCGCACAAATCATCAGCACTGGGTTCGAACAGAAAAACGCTTGTTTGTGCAATATGCGTTAAAACAAGCACATAATTTTTTGGTCCTAAAATGTAAATTATTTATAGGTTTTCACATAAATTAAAATAATACGCTGCGTTTTTCAGGACTTTTATATGAACTATTTTTTGAAGGGGCACGATCGCGCGTGATTACGGTACCTACTGGACCAACGTGCGCTCCGCCATCGTCAGCCGGCGCTTCGTCCCCGAAGCGGAAGCCCCGCCCCCGCCACCCCCGGTCCCCGTGACGACGCACGCGCCTAAACGCATCCAGCACATCACGCACACCATTCTCCACCACGTGACCACGCCCCTGGTTCACCACGCCCACAAGGTCTCGCACCATCCGCGACGCACCACGCCGCACCGGACCACCACCACCTCGACCACCGCGGTGCCGGTGACGACGGCGGACATCGTGCAGCTGGAACTGGATAAATACATGGAAGAGAAGAAGTACATTGAGGAAAAAGAAAGGAACGCGCTCATGGAGAAGGCCGCCGCCAAGCATCAGGACAACGAGGAGAATGTCCAGAACGGTCAGTAATTACGTAACATCATTTTGATTTTTCGTCTTCCTTTTCATTGTTTCGTGAAATCTTTTATGCAGAAAGAAATAATTTTCGTTTTTAGTCGCTCTTTTGATAATATAGTATCAACGGTATAATATTATGTTAGCTAATCATATTTTTAAATCACATTTTAATTATTTATTTTGTTTTACTTATTTAGCGCACTACAACATTTTTCTGTTCTTAAGCATTTTGAGTTTATTTTATTTTTATTAAACTTTTGGTGTTATAATTATACGTTTACTAAAAATTAAAATATCGGTATGTTTTATTATAGTACAAGTCGATTCTTATATTTCGCCGGTTATATTTTCAATAATTATTCATAATATTACTGTTTATAATAATTATTATTTTGTGTTTATTTATTAATATTTGTATTGTGTATTTCATTAAAATAGTAAATCAAAAAATTTTATTTTTTTAAATTTTACAGCTAGTGTTTTATGCGTGACCTTTGCAGACGGCAGCAACCCCGACTCGCAAGCCGCCAAAGTCCGCAACGGCTCCAAAACGAAAGCCGCAACCGACGGCAACGCAGCCGCCTCTCTCAGCGTTTCAAGACATTTCCTCATCCATTTATTCCTTTTACAGTGTGTCATATTTGTGACCTTAAGAATAGCAACACGACGCAGTTAGATGACTGCGCACTGCTCCCAGTTTTACCTTGTTGATACGTACAAAAAGGTCTGAGTGTCAGGTTTCCGCGGACGGTGATGGAGGGTCCGCTCTCGATGGCTTCCAGTGTCGCAATGTGGCGACACTCTTTGTAAATGTAAACATATACAGAAACCGGAACTATGTGCCCCGTGTGTGAGCCTTGCATGTACTGCATTTTCCCGTTTTCACTGATTCTTGTTCTTCCGGAGTTTTGTTGTGCTTGGTTTTTGTTGAAGTGCCTGTGGTTGTTGATCTGTTGAATCTGCTGAGTTTATTGTCGAATGATAACATTATTCTCCTTGAACTGAGGCATTCAAGTGCGCTGAAAAATAATTACGTTATTGGCGTTGAATTCAATTTAACCAGCTAGGATTCTTGTTCGCAAGAAAACATAAGTAAAATGCCGGTACTACAGTTTCTAGAAGTAGTTGCAGTTGTATATAGACTACGAGCACGCAAACAAACAAATACATTTCCGCAAACCGCATTTTTGCGCAGAACAAAAACCCGCTCGCAACAACGCAAGAAACACTCGCAACAAATACATTTTTCTGTGCACAGTACAGCGAATACATTTTCCAGCGATACGGCGCTGCGCAGATGGTGCGGTAGTCGGTCGATGCAGATCCAATTTTACGCGGCTGACAGCGGACTTTTTAGGATCACACTACTGCTCTTAGCGCAAAGCATCAATTACATTTTATTCGTACAATTTGATTTATTGGGAAGTACCACAAAATATGTTAACAGCAAATAAGTACATAACATTGCTTTTCATCAGTCCATCCATATTATTATGTACGCTGTGTTTTATGGACTACAACCTACTATCTAAGCTCTCTGTTTCGTTGTTTCGTTTCTCCCATACATATGCTACCAAGATTCTTCAGAAAACTACAAACTTAAGAACTTGAACCGGGTGAATACGGGATGCACGACGGAAGTGGCGAGGACTTTTACGTAAATACAACCACCCGAAACCTATGGTACGGTTCGCATACCCGTTGCAGTTTTTTTCCTGCAGGTTGTCCGAAATTCAGCAACTATACTCTGCGACCTTATACAGTAGCTTCCTGTACATATGTACCCTTGATGTACCTCCCGATGTTGCTTCCTCTTATTCTTTCGCTGCTGTATCCCACAGCATTTCTGCAATATCTTGTAGGTACTTTGCATCCTACTTGAACACCATACAGAAAATTCGAAACACGGAACAAGATAAATGAGTACAAGTATGTAAAGAACAAGTTAGGATAATGAGGTCAAAAGAAGAGCTGCAAAAGCATAACAACATACATGGAGGATGCAGAGGGACAAAACAAATCGGTGGGATACGGTGGATACTTTGGATACTGATCCAGGAACACGTGTGGTGTACAAAGTCACCCAAATCCTCCTGTTAACTGTTTAAAATAGCACGAAAACTATTCCGTTGTGCACGGATTCGTAAAATGCCGAGAAAGGAAAAGGCGCAGACGATCTGATTCCCTAATGAATTATCAACCTCTTCACAAAGTCTGATGACCTTCAGCAAGGAGCTGGCCTAGTTGCGCATACTGCATTTTATGAAAATATGTTAAGCATATACTGCGCGTCCGATGCAGACATTTTGCGATGATTTCAAGGAAAAGAATTAAAACGTTGTCGTGTAGTAAGGGTCTTTTACCAACGGCTCTCAAATCTACATACTATAGATGCGTGTTCCATTTAACTTCCATTATCCAAACACATTCTTCGATAACGATAAAATGGGTTTACATAGGTGCTCATGCATATCCCTACACAGAAGTACCTATACCGGATAAATTATAATTCCCTCGGCACGAAATGAAAAAAAATCAAAACAAAAATCAGTAGTCTAGAAGAACTTATTCGCACGGAAGCTGTAGCCTGTAGAATCCGGCACAGTTTGCATGAATTAATTGACGCTTTAATACCATTGCAAAACTACGAATTTTTCACGATAACGAACCTCGTCAGTTGCAAACGCATCTTTTCTTCCAGCGGTAATGCGCCGGCGTACGCCGATCAGTCGACTGCAAGGCGGTCCGTCGCCTTACAATCGAACGACCCACGTCCGAACAGCGCATTTTCAGAAAGCTTACGTTTTGAGTTTCCCTAAAACGCCCAGATGCAGACTGCGTTGCCGGTTCGCTGTCCAGCCACACAGACGCTCTTGTCGCTCTGCATCGTGAGGCTGTGCGACATGGTCGGCTATGTAACTGCAGCTCGCTCCGCATGGAAACCGAAGAGGGACGCCTTCAATACCACGCAAAAACAGAAATATGAGCCTAACCTTAGAATTCAGTAAACGGAAAACTAATATCAAAACCAGAAGCTATAACGCTTAGTGCAGCAAAAAGCAAAAAATAGAGAATTCTCCGCATTTACGCACCATGTCGTAGAAATAGTCAAAATAGAAACAGGTCTGTCAAACACAAGGCTGATTATTTCCTGACGATAGAGTTTCGTGTTTATATACGCGCATTGTCGCGCAAGTCGGGCATTCTTTGCTTCCTACATGCGCGATACGGATTTGATGCCTGGGCGGGGCCAGTCACCCTTAACCTTCTTTCTGGTCGCTGTCATTGGGCGAGATAAATTCGGAGCCCGGGAAAGAGAGCGCATTACAGCTTCAGGGTTTTGGTTATGCGGAATTTATGCCAGATATTCCTTGATGACCGTTCTCCAGTCATGGTTATTCAGTCAGTTGCCATTGAAACGATACAGTTGCTGTCTGTCTGAGCGGATCAACCCAGCTGCTACCGAATGCCAGTCATGCCGCGAAACCAGTCAAGTCTACGTTTTCGTAAGAGCCTCTTCCATACAGATCAGTATAAAATCAAAAAGGATTTCTTCGAAAAACAGAGTGCTTTATTGTGGCTTTTGCAAGAGTTTCTCTTAATCGACCGGTTTTCCGAAGAATCATGCTTTCTATGCGTTATAAACATAAAGATGAACATAATTAATGTACTCAGTAACTTAATCATGAAACATACAGATAAAACCTAATTATTTCCCGGCGGATCGGTGACAAACCATTTTCACCGAAGTTACACCGAACTTCCCCTTAACCATCAAAAGGCGAATGCGATTTACAAATTACAGAATATTAATAGCATAAATCTTCGCAGGTAATGCTGGAACCTTACAAAATGATAAAATTTGAGTGCCACCGTCACACCGTGCATAAAGTGGATTTGGGCGAGCTCGTACACCTTACGTGTTCTTGGGTCTGTATCCAAAGTATCCACAGTTTCCCATCGATTTGTTTGTCTATGTGCATCATCCATGTAGTTAAGCTTTGTGGTTCTCCTTTTGACCTCATTATCCTTTCTTGTCCTTTCCGTACTCGTTGATCTTGTTACGTGTTTCGGTGTTTTGAATTTTCTTTATGGTGTACAAGTAGATACAAGATGCAAGTACAAGTAGATGGTGTACAATGTACAGATACAAAATACTGTACAAGTAGATACAAATTCGCACAAAACAAAACAAATTCTTCGTCCAAACCGACCGTAGATCACAAGAAACGCGAACCCGAATCTTGTTATTATTAGTATGAATAGTGGTTATGTACGTATAATACGATTGTTATGCAGCTATCCTTATTTTGAAATAAGTATTATATCTAGAGTAGTAGAGACATTATTTATATCATTATTATCGAGACGGACATTGACGAACGTGAATCACGTGAGCCTTTTTGCCCGTTTCCGTTCTGTAATGACTGATATTACATTGGAATTGAATAAACGTGAAGCGAAATTACTACTACATTCTTACTTTGTAAATGTAATGTTAAAATACACCTATAGAATCGTCTACAGTGGGTAACTTGTGCGAAAGCAAGAAAGCAGCATGTACAGATACAATAACTGGCAACCGAATAAAAAGGAAAAATCTCGCCCGAATTCGCCAGAGTTGGTGTCGTTTCCATTGTCGTTGTTGTGTTTCCTCCGTTGGATTTTAATGCTTCATAAAAAGACCATTACATCAGAAAGATGCACGCATATAACAACTGCAGTCACAAAGGACAGACAGGCGTTCCGCTGGGAAATAGGCTGCTTCCCTACTTTTCGGCAGCAGAGAATTAGAGCCAGCCCGGCGCTCTGTTGCACATGATCCGATACAGACGAGAGATCGGTATTGCAGACGTTTCCCTCAAACCGTCCTAATAAGTTATCAGTGAAACGCTGACTTCAGTTAACGTGGTACTTTTTCCTAAGAGATTAATTGGTAATTCATTACGAAATCATTCTTCTGCACGTTCATGTTTTTCTGCGTCTATGCGTTGCGATCGAGAAATGGTCGACCGTTCAAAGTCCGGCCTACCACAAAATAAAAGCGTTTTGTTTTTCCTAATTGTGATTCCTAATTTCTCATAAGCCACAATTTTTGGATGCAGCATTATCCAAAACTGGCACAACGTCTCGCTTTCCGTTTTCCTAGCCTTTTGCACACTGCACCGCGGCCACAGTCCCTGCCTCCCTGCTACCGTGCGGCCTCATATCGACGAGGCGTGGCCTTGAATTCTATCACATGTTGTGCAACTGTCATTCGCCGTCCCTTCTTACACTGGGCGGAGTTCATCCATCGCCCATGCCAGAACTTCTAAATTACTTATTATTTCCACATATTCATGAAGCGTTCAGTATTCGTTCAAAATATGCGCGTATAAATCAGCTTTTAACGAACCCTTGGGCAGTCCAAAGTTGGCATCCCGAAGTGGTGCGTCACCGTGCGTGCCGTGTCGACCATCTGCAGGATCTGTAATCATCACGTCCTGTATTGAAACGATTAAATGTTCACCTTCTGTACAGCTTTCAATTATTCCTGGTAAAGCAATAGTTGTAAACTGTGCAGACAGTGGCATTAATCGCTTCCAATTGGAAGCTTAATAAATTGCGGGTATTTTTTGTTGATTTTAAATATTTCTGATATGCTCGCTGCTCGTAATATTGGTACATACTGTCAAACATGATTTGAACCGTGTCGATTACGATTAGTGAGTCATTTTCCGCCTGTCTGTGGCCGTACATTTGCTGTTCGGCCAGGTTCAAAATCCCGTTCTCGATTTGTAAGTAAGTCACCCTAGCCGGAAATAGGTTACAATAATATTCATATAAAGTATGACAAGGCCAGTACTGTTTTAAAATTTGAAACCAACATTTTGATGATATCCATTTTTATATTATTAACCGATATTATTAATTAATATTTAATTGATTAATTAATATTCTCTATTCGTTAAAACGTGTTTTTGGTTGACTTATTCGACAACAACTTAATTATGATATTTA